CACATTCATATCTATTTCTAAGGCTTTTTCCTTAACTAGTTAGGATAGGTTTTCTTTTTAAAATGTTATTAATATGTATGTCAATGTTTAGGCTAACCTTTAACTCTTAAGACTGTGGATATCTCATTCTGGTTCTCCCATGCCCCTCCTCTTTAAGCAACTCTGGGAGGAAATGCAAGACTCCAAAGTAGGCTGCTTTATGTAACCACACTGTGAGATCTGGCACCAAATCCTGCTGTCTGCCCCCAGAACAACCCCTCAGGAATGTGAACAGCCAGAGCAAGACAGATGGAGCAGATGATGGAATTATTAGTTCAGAAAAAGGCACTTTTTTGTATCAGAGAAAGATAGGAAAATGTGAAGACATAAAATCATATACACTGATCACTTTTTTCCCCTAACCTAAGACCAGGACACATGGTATGACACACTTATCCTCCAAGGGGAGGAAGACATACTTGACATGAAGACTCCAAATGGGAAGTCCTTTTCCATCCAGGTTCTGCAGAAGAAGAGCATGGTGAATCATGGGTAATGCTGAGATACTTTCCAGATGCTCACATGCACATGTATTTCTAGGAATAGTATTAAAAGGCAGATTTATTTATTCAGGTGGTCTAGGGTAGTGCCTGAGAGTCTGCATTTCTAGCCAGCATGCTGGTGATATAGTTAAACTGGACTGAGAGTCACACTTGAAACCCAGCCCAAGGGACGACATCTTATTCATCCTGGGTATTCCCAACATCCAGTAGGGTAAACAACACACATATAACAATTTGATAAATGAAACTCCAGGCATTTTCATGCATGCACAGTTATTTGACCTTCTTAGTAATATTATAACATAGGTGATATTATCCTGTTTTTACAAAAGACTGGTTAAATTCAAATATTTAATCATTCAGTTCTATATTAGAGATTCTACAGAGAAGTAGAAAACCTTGATATTCTGGATTCAAATCTTGCCAATGCAAGGAATTGATTTCCAACCTAATCCCCTAATCTGTCAAAAATGACTCTGAAAATACACTGTTCTAAGTATGGATAGTAGAGCTGAGTCTGAATCAGGCTGGATCTGAATCTCAATTCTAACCCTTCCTAGCTGTGTACTTGAGCAAGTGCATGATCCATCACAAGGCTTAATCTATTCTGTCATTTGAGATTAATAGCAGTTTTTAACTCAGGGTTTTGATGGAAATTAATGAATTATATTTCTAAAGAACCTGAAACAGTTTTTAGCTTGCTTCATATGATGAAAGTATAGATTAAATTATAGGGCTAGTAAAGAGCTAGCAACCTCTTGCTGGGAGACTGACATTTAATTTACAAGGCTTTAAAGATAATGTAATGTAACATAATGTATCCTAGAACTTCTTGTGTCTTTTAGTTATTGGGTAAGTTTGCTCTATGAGAATCCCCAAACTATATTTTATTTTTATTTTTCATATATATATATATGAAAAATAAAAATAAAATAGTTATAAACATAGCCGGAACATGATGGAAGGGGTGCTAGCAATGGTGAAATTCCAATTTGCATTAAAACACTTTGGAACACTTTCTGCTTTGAAATCAATGCAATACCTTATTTCCCCTTTCTGTTGCTGAGTGTTAGTGACTCATACCTCTAATCCTAGCTACTTAGGAGGCTTAGGTCTAAAGATCTTGGTTTGAAACCAGCCCAGGCAAAAAAAGCTCTGAGACTCTTATCTCCAATTAACCAGCAAAAAACAGAAGTGGAAATAAAAAGCTAAGGATAGAACCCAGTACTGACACACTTACAAAAAAAAAAAGTGGATCACAGTAAGTTATCTTTTGTAAGCCTTTGTCTCTCATAAGAATACATTGTATATTTCCACCCACTGACATTTAATGACACACAGAGAACAATGATTCACCCCAGTCAACATTTTAATATTACTGAAATATCTCCCCTAAGTCCACAGCACAATTTTCAAAACATGTGAATCTATCAGAACAAAAGACATCAAACTGTCTTTGCTAAACCATTTTGCTGATTTTTTCCCTCTGCCCCAATTTCCTCTGATCTATAGTTCACCAACCAACAAGAAGACAAATGAAGATAATTTCCCAATTAATTAATCAAGCTCAATCCACTGTCATTTAAGTAATATCCACTGTTGGAGCACATTTGGGTCCATTTAGTATGCTTTCCTGGATTCAGTTGCAATTTAGCTCTGTGCAAAAAGGGACATTAAATCTGTGTCAACCCCAGGTTTTCGCTTACTCTTCCTAATGAAGCCTGGCCTCATTTAGCTGTGATTAAATCATTCTCAAGTCATCCTCTGCATAGAGGAGAAGGAACTGGATGATTCAAAATGGCACTGACTACTGGGCTTTCGGTCTCTCACGTACAGGCTTTGAAATGGAAACAAGTTAGAAGGTTTCAAAGGCCTGTGCAGAAAACCCAGCCACCTTCCTTCCACCATTCAGTGCCAGGGGAATTGTCTTTCCTCCTCCTGAGCCGATCAGCTGGTGCCTGAGGCCTACGGATTTTTAAATATTTCAACATTCCATTTTTGGCTCCTAGCCCTGCAGATTTTTAATGGTAAAAATGTTAGAAGGCTAAAGTTAACAATTAATTAGCACTGGCACACAGACTTGGAAAGGATTTGGACTGCCCTGAAAGAAAAGCAACTGGAAGCAACTAAAACATTTGAAAACTAGACTCTGTAGCCACTGAATTTCTATTCTCTGGGCCTTTGATTCTCTCTGTCTTTGTGATAAGATTTGTCAAGCTGAGGATTGTACTCTTGCTTCATTTCTCTTTCCCTTCGTGTTTCCCTCTTTCCCTCCCTTTCTTTCTTTCTTTCTTTCTTTCTTTCTTTCTTTCTTTTTCTTTCTTTCTTTCTTTCTTTCTTTCTTTCTTTCTTTCTTTCTTTCTTTCTTTCTTTCTTTCTTTCTTCCTTCCTTCCTTCCTCTCTCCCTCCCTGCTGTCCTTCCTTCCATCCTTCCTTCCATCCTGCCTTCTGTCCTTCTGTCCTGCCTTCCATCCTTTCTTCCTTCCTGCCTTCCCTCCTTTTCTTGTTCCTTCCTTCCTTTCACCCCTCTCTAAGTGGTACTAAACTTTTTCAGAATTATAGAGAATTTTAGGCTAGTAAAAAATGCAAAACTGGGAGTTTAATAGAATTGAATTTCCCATTGACATTCAGTGCTGTTTTAAGCAAGGCACTCTTTGGGACCATGGCTTTTTTTTTTTCATTCTGAAGATGGGGCAGTTGAATTAGTCTCTGAGGTCTGTCCTCATTCTGAGAGGTTGTTATTCAGAATAAGCTGGGAACAAGGACAAATGTGCTGTATAATTTAATCTGGAAACCAGATTAAATAGGCCAAGACAGACCACCAAAAGGAATAGATCTCTTTGCTCTTGTTTGTATGTTGTTATAGACAAGAACAGTGAAGGGTATAGCCAAATTGATTAAGGCTTGTGCCCTACCACACTCTTGAGATGCAGCCTTACTACTATCACCTTGCTGTACCAGACCCAAAGTTAGCACTAGCTCCATAAACTGTTCATCATTCATTCACTGATATTGATCAGCCACACTGCATACTGAACTCTGACCTGTTTATGAACACAGAGTTTTAAAAAATGTAAAACCAGGCTCATGCCTGTAATCCTAACTACTCAAGAGGCTGAGATCTGAGGAACATGGTTTAAAGCCAGCCCAGGCAGGAAAGTCCATGAGACTCTTAGCTTCAATTAACCACCAAAAATCAAAGTGAGACTACACTTTAAAGTGGTAGAGCACTAGCCTTGAGCAGAAGAGCTTAGGGCCAGTGCCCGAGCCCTGAGTTCAAGAAAAAGGAAAAAAGTTACCAATTTAGATTAAAATTTCTCTGGTAAGTTTCTTGACTTACCCCCTTCTAGTCGTATGTGTGATTCTCTATATTGTGAAAATATAACATAGAATCTGTGACATCATTTCTTGCTTAAAATGTTTGTCACTGGAAAGACTAGACACACAGAACAGAGAAGATTATTTCTTTCTACTTTGTGTCTCTCAAGCACTTAGCAAAAGTCATTCACTCAATTTATAATTGTCTAACATTATAAGCCACTTGCTTATTGTTTTTTAAAAAATAAATAACATCGAGAGTACCATGATTTATATATAATAAATTCTCCATTCTTGTTTTTTTTTTTAACATGAGACCAAGCGTTCCTCGCTGCTACAGGGGAAGCAGCGAGGTATAGTTAAGAAACAACCTTAATGTGAGCAGAGGGAACAAAAACACAGCACTTATAAGCTAAATTGCAGTATAGCTTATATAATCTAAATCCTGCTGTAAATTCTCCATTCTTTTTTTTTTTGGGGGGGGGGGGGGTCTGGTCATGGGGCCTGAACTCAGGGCCTGGGCACTGTCCCTCAGCTCTTCAGCTCAAGGCTAATGCTGTACCACTTGAGCCACAGCGCCACTTCCGGCTTTTTTTTCTTTTTGCTTATGTGGGGCTGGGAAATCGAACTCAGGGCCTCATGCATGCAAGGCAAGCACTCTACCACTGAGCCACCTTCCCAGCCCCAAATTCTCCATTCTTTAAGCATAAGGTTTGATGAGATTTAGAACATGGATGCCCCCAGTAGCCAGCAGTGCAGGCAGCACGGACTGTTTATGTGACAGAAGTCTTCCCATTGCCATTTGTAATTGCTACACCCACTTCCCTCCAAGATCCACTATATAGTCCAATACAATGTCTGTGTAGTACCATCACTATATACTAAATTTTCCTGTTCTAATACCTCATCAGAATGGAATTGTACAGCATATGCTCTTTACTTTGTGGCTTCTTTAGTTCCACAAACTGAAATTGGTCTAGGTTGATAAACAATATAGATTTTTTTTTTAAATTTAAATTTTTTTAAATTGATGTATTCCATTATATAACTAAACCACTGTTTGTTTCTTTATTCATCTCTTGATTGACATTTGAGTTGTTTCCATTTTCAGGCTATAATATACAGCTATTTGGTTAACAGGTATGTATACGTCTTCTTTGGACACAATTCTATTTCTCTAGATAAATGCCTAACAGGTAGAAGTATTAAGCCAAAAGATAGCAAATGCTAACTTTTATAACAATATACTAAGGTTCTGCATAAATGGCTTTATTGTTCATACCCCTGACAACACTGATAAACTTTTCACCTCTTCACCATGGGATGTTTGCTGATGTTAAATTAGCTGTCCTGACTTGGTGATGTGCTTGCTGTGGTTATAATAATGCACTCCTCTAACAACTAATGATATTGAACATCTTTTTATGTACTTATTAACCACTTATGCAATTTATTTTGTGAAGAGCTTGTTTATGAAACAGGCTATTCAGTGCTAAGTGTTCTCAATTAACTCCATATTCAAGGACTTTGTAAGATCTAGACATTAAACGTATTTTCTGCTGATTTGTGTTTTCATTTTCATCTTCTAATAGCTTGTTATTAAGCAAATGATTTTACTTATAATAAAATCCCATACTTTTTTCTTTTTCTTTTTAGAAGAAATAGTTGTATTGTCAAAGCTCATAGAATATACCAACATTATAGACCATGATAATGACAATTTGCCTTGTGCAGGATAAAATGTGGTTGTTACTTTAACTGAATATCACCATCTCACAATACTGTGAAATTTATGCAATCACTTAATCCCAGTAAAATTTATCAAAAAAACTAGTCAAGTTGCCTATTGTATTCATTTATGTATCCATTTATTCATTCACAAGTGTATATGAACTACCCACTCTAAAAGCATGGGACAAAGACTGATTTAATAGGACTGTGCATTTGCCAGAAGTATGACGAATCTTAATGTAACTCTGAACAAGTATTGCCAGTATGATCTGTGAGATTTCAGATATCAAAGGGTTGTTATTCTGAGGTTTTCCCCCAACCCAACACTCTGCTTATCCAGAACCGCTGCCTCCCAGGCACAGCAAGAATGCCACTGTTAGCGGCAAGACTAAAGCAGCCAACCTGGTCCTCCCACCCCAGTGAGAAGATAGCTGAACATGCTAAGACTTAACTGAAGCATTGTGTAAGGAAAGGAATGAGGCTGGAGCTACTTTGGTGAGTGTGCTGATTCTCTGCAGCAGAGTGTGGAAAAGGAATTACTCTAGTCATATGTTATCAAGAGAGAATACTTTTTTCTTACAGCATTTATTGTCTATGTCTGCTTTTTCCAAGACTTCAGGAGTTTTCTGCCGTTTTCTTAAGTGTTGTTTTTGAAGGTTCCTTTTCAGATTCTTCTTTTTTCTAATTTTTATTGTGAAAATACCTTACAGAGGGGTTACAATTGCATGAGCAAGGTAACGAGTACATTTGGTATCAAGCATTGTTGCCTCCTCCTTTGTTTCCCCTTCCCATCCCTTCCCATCTAGCTCCCCCGCCCCTCCCCCTCCCATGCCAAATTTGTAAAGTTTATATTTCGACATAACGTCTTGTACATCTCGTTGTTGCAATGGGTCCACCTATTTAAACAATTTGTTTTTTCCCTTCCCCTCCACAAATTATACCAACATCAAATACAGTGAAAACAAGGGTTATACTGTGGGGGAGGGACATACAAAGCAACAAAGAAGTAGTCTTGTAAATATGTTAGAAACAATAGCAAGAAAGAAAAACCATTTGAGTCCTTATCTTGGGATTCATTTTGCCTAAATCAACTTATCTGACTGTTTCTGCTTGTCTCAGACATATACTAGTTATTGCAAACAAGGGAAACCATGGGACCTATGTTTCTTTGGGCCTGGCTTAATTCACTTAATATAACTTTTTCCAAGTCTTTCCATTTCCTACCAAATGGGGCAATGTTGGGGCTGGGAAGGTGGCTCAGTAGTAGAGCGCTTGCCTTGCATGCCTGAGGCCCTGGGTTCGATTCCTCAGCACCATAAAAGCAAAAAGAAAAAAAGCCAGAAGTGGCGCTGTGGCTCAAGTGGTAGAGCGTTAGCCTTGAGCTGAATTGCTGAGGGACAGCACCCAGGCCCAGAGTTCAGGCCCACGACTGGACCTTTCCCAAAAAAAACCCAACAACAACAAATGGGGCAATGTCATTCTTTCTGATGGAGGCATAGAATTCCATTGTGTATATATACCACATTTTCTTGATCCATTCATCTACTGAGGGGCATCTGGGTTGGTTCCAGATCTTAGCTATGGTAAATATGCTGCAATAAACATAGTTGTGCTGGTAGCTTTAGTATGCTCTTGTTTGTGATTATTCAGGTAAATGCCCAAAATTGGGATTACTAGAATCAACAAAACAAAGAGTTGGTTCTTTGAAAAATTAACAAAATTGACAGTTTCTTTTTTGTTAAAACAAATTCATCATGTTGGTGAATTTTGTTCTGTTGATTTAATTGTAAATGCTCATATGAACACTGTACTTGAAGCTTTGATAGTAAGTCTTGAAATCACATACCCTTCCTTCCTTCCTTCTTTCTTTCCTTCCTTCCTTCCTTCCTTCCTTTGTTCCTTTTCTTCCTTCTTCCTTCCTTCCTTTCTTCTTTCTTTTGTAAAGGTGTTGTACATAGGGGTTACAGTTACATAACTCAGGTAATGAGTACATTTCATTTTGAACAATATCACCTCTTCCCCTTGTTTTCTTCCAGTTTTTCTCTCCCAGCTCTCCTTCCCCACAAGATGTCTAGTTCATTTTCAACAAAGTATCACTGCAGTATTTGTTTACCCTTTTCCCCAACATTTCCATGCTCCCTCTTACCCACTCCAAAACACCAACTTACCCACCAGATGGAAGATACAGAAATCAGAAACAGTGACAAAGGAGAAAACAAACAAAAACCAAAACAAAAAGCAAAATATCAAATTAACAAAATAGCAAAATAACAAAACTCTTGTTTCCATTTCAACAAACATCTTTTGTTGTTGTTGTTGTTGGTCGTGGGGCTTGAACTGTAGACCTGGGCACTGTCCCTCAGCTCTTCAGCTCAAGGCTAGCACTCTACCACTTGAGCTACAGTGCCATTTCCACTTTTTCTCATGGTTTATTGGAGATAAGAATTTCACAAACTTTCTTGCCTGGGCTGACTTTGAACCCCGATCCTCAGATCTCAGCCTCCTGAATAGCTAGGGTTACAGGCGTGAGCCACTGGTGCCTGGCCAAACATCATTTTATATGATCATATGCACATAGCACTGAGCCATTGTCTTTGACTTAATTTTTTAAATTGTTTTCTATATATTTCCATATTTCAACGAAGTGAATCAAGATATGAATTTGAATTTGGCTGTATCTACATATCACTTTAGAAAATAAAGATTTAGCAATATTGAGTGTTTGTATGAACTTGATAATGGCTTTTGGTATAATATATGTTTATCAAATGAGCAAATATCTTTGTCCTTTCACAATTTTAATAAGAATATGTTCTATATTCCATGACTAACTGGAATGTTAGGTGTAGGTCTTTACAAGATGAACTTTAACAGACTAAGAAGGTTCTTTCACTTAGTTTTCTGAGAGTTTTTAAAAGTTTCATTGATTTTATTGGCTTTTTCAAAGACTCCATACTTGTCTCGGATCAATTTTTCTGTTTGGTTTTCTTTAGTTAATTATTATTATTCTATTTGTTACTTCCTTTTTCAGTCCACTTAGGGTTTGATTTGCTCCTTTTAGCTTCTTGAGGTAAAAACTTAAGCTATTTTGCTTAAGCAGTTTTTTTCTAGTGTATTCTATTAAAGCTATGTACATTTTCATCTAAACACAGTCTTAAAAATACCTCACAAATTTTGAAATACTTTGTATTTTGTTTTATAAAAGTCTTTCAATTTCTATTGAGAATTTTACTAATCTTTAGTTATTTTAAATTGTTAATTTCCAAGTAGTTGAAGATTCTGTAAGTCCTTTTTTAATTTCACTAGATGATTTAATTTAATAATAATTTAATCTCACTATATAATTACACTGTAGCAAGAGAAACTTTCACTTTTTATGCATAGAAATTTATGTTATTATCCATCACCTATTATAAAGATTCCATATACATTTAGAAACATGTGTTTCTAAAGTTATGTGTATAATGCCATATAAATTTTAATTCGATCATATTGGTTGAATCAAGATATTACATATTTTTATCTCTCACTAAATACCTCTTCAGCTTTGTTGAGAAATTTGCCTTATGTAATTCATCATTTCTGTCAATTTTCTTTGTTTTACATCTATCTCATTTAAAATTGCTGCATTTATAAATTGTACTAGCAATAACACCACTTTTCTTGAAGTTCAATTTGATATTGCTATATCCATATCTGGGTGATTTCTAGTTTACTGTTTACCTGAACTATCTTGTTCACTCATATGCCTTCAACCTTCGGTGTCATTGAATTTAAAGAGACTCTTGTATAGTTACAGAAGCCTGGGTCTAAATTTTTTTTTTACCCTACGTGGCATGTGTAGTCTATTTATACTTAATGTAAATCAATGTTTAATTCTGCTTTGAAATTTTGTTTTTTATTTAAATTTTATTGTAAGGATGATGTACAGAGGGGTTACAGTTACATGTCAGGTAATAAGTACATTTCTTCTCTCTTTTTTTTTGTCAGTTGTGGGGCTTGAACTCTGGGCCTGGACGCTGTCCCTCAGCTCTTCAGCTCAGGGCCAGTGTCTACCACTTGAGCCACAGCGCCACTTCCGGCTTTTTCTTTTTGCTTATGTGGTGCTGAGGAATCGAACCCATGGCCTCATGCATGCAAGGCAAGTGCTCTACCACTGAGCCACCTTCCCAGCTCCAGTCCATTTCTTTTTAAACAGTGTCACCATCCCTCATTTTCTCCCACTTTTCCCTCTCCCTTCCCCACCCAAGCTGAAAAATTCATTTTCAACACAGTGTCTAGCGAGTATCACTGTTGATGGTTCACCCTTTGTCTCACCATTTCTGTGATGCCCTTTCTTTCCCCAGATCAGGTAAGCTTATGCACAAGACAAAGGGTACAGACAAAACGTTTCATGTTTTTTGATGGTCACTG